TATCTCATTAGCAGCTGGCGTGACATAGTTTGAGTCAAAGATGATGAGCAGGGTTACTCATAGGGTCATAAACTCCAAAACAGGGAGGTCAAAAGGCTTGTGTGAACGCAAGTTGAAAGTCTTTGCCCTCTCTAACATGCCTGGGAATTCTACATATCATACCTCGCATTCACCAGAGGAAACATCATCATTTTGTAAGCTGCTGGGTTCTTTAGCCTGTAGCCCACAGCTTGCCCAAGTGATGTTTTCTCTTTGGAATGAGATCCGGGGTTGAGGGGCCTGGAATTTTCTACTGTGGTCAGGTCTGTCTGCCAGTCCCACTGGCTTCAGCTGTTGCACTAACAGAGGTAAACCAGTACAAATTTCCTACAGGTTTCTAATGGAAGATCTTTCAGTTTGCCTTTTAAGCTGCTTTTAAAACCAGGCTTTACTCAAAATAGGCCTGGTTTAAGATGATGCACAGAGCTGATGTATTCACTTCCAGCGTTGCTTGCCCACAGTAGTTAGTAACAACTGTAACGACTCCCAGATGGCTCTGACTGTCTGCAGACTGATGTTTTCACAGCCAGCAGGTTAACAGGAGCAAGCCCTGACTTCAGCATACATTCGTGTGTCAGGGTGTAAGCTGCGGTGGGGTAGGAGCAGCAGCTCTGTTCTGCTTTCCTGTTGCAAGCATTCAGGGGAAATAGTCCGTGGAGCAGCCTCATTAACCCATCACCAAACATGTGCCATCACACTCCATTTCCCTTGTCTGTAACAGGGAGCTCTGTGTGTTCCCACTGCCAGGGACAGATGGACCATCTTAAATTCATCATTTAGAAAGTGTCTTAAAGACCCTGTCGTGCTAGGTTCTCTGGGGCTGCCAAGTGCTGCTGAGATGTAACGTGGAAAGCCAGTAGGTATAAGACAACATCTGACTTCACTTTGATGGGGCTCCAGCTCAGAGGGGCTGTGCAAATTGGTATTTGCTGAAATCTGCCCTTCCTTCCTCAAATCCGACAGGCAAGGAGTTCAGGCTCTTTTAAAAGCAACATGATAGCCCTCAAGCTGAGTTTATTTTTCTTGGACGACGTACATACCTCCATTGCCCGGTTTGGAAATGCTGCAGATAAATAGCATAGGATGAAATTTTCCATCGCCATAAACCACTTGGCTTTTATATATATATATATATGTGTGCTCAGATCTTTTCCCATCACAGCTCATATTTTGAGGGTTACATCATATCTCTTCCTGTCCCTGAGCCTTTCCATTCCCTGCCCTGTTGGGAAGCGGCAGTGCCTGACCCTCGCTTCTGTAAGACAAGTTGCCAGTCACAGGCCAGAGTGAAATGTTTGTCTAGGGTGAGTGATGGAAGATCTGTGATAAGAAGATGGGAGACGGGCAGGAAGAGGTTAATTCTTCTAACAGGACCAAGGTTGGGGCAGGTCTGAAATCCATCAGTCCCCTGCTAAAAGGCAGAGAAACTCCCATCATTTTTGCTTGCTATTTTCCGCAGCCACTGCAGCTTTTAGCCTTGGGACTTGTTCAAAGGATTATTTCTTGGAGGATGATGAATGTGCATAGCAGGACAGCCCTTTCATGGGCTGCTGGCTGGCCAGAATTAGCCTGATACCCCTTTAGCTCAGTGGCTGGGTAAACACTGAAGGTTGCTCACCTTTTCAAAGCTGGGAGAGCAGTGTTTGTTCGATGCCGACGTGAGCGTAATCACATCGAGTGGATTTTTACAGAGGGGCTTTTCCCCCTCCCCTTTAAAGGCTATAGACCAAATACACAGACAGTTTCTCATTAATGGAGAGAGCAGGGCTCGTGGTTGGGCTTTGTCTGTTATTACCTGTTTGCCTCTGGGAAAACATTAGGAGGGGAAAAGCAAGTACATCTCCTGCTGGTATCGCATCCTCTCCCTTGTCCTCCAGCCCCCAGCTCCGTGAGAGTAAGCTGCACACCCTGAAAGGGTTAGGGGGAAAAAAAAAAGCAGTAGCTGTGCTTGGAAGTGCTGCGAGCGTGTGGCTGAGGATGGCTTAACCCAGTAATTGTATGTGAATGTAAAGGCTGCCCACAGCCCTGTGGATGGTTGGGGGCTCGAAGGTGATGCTGAACCTGCTTGCTGTGATGCTCCACGGAGGCATCTGCGCGTCCAGCACAATGAGGGCAAAGTCGTTGTTAAAACAACACTGTTGTTGATGGCTGTTGAAATAACACTGTTGTTGAACTCGGAGGTTCATGTTGCTTGCATTCCTTCTTTTTCAGCCGCAGCCTGGAGTAAAAGATCTGTTTTGCCTACTCTAAATCACATTAGTGGCTTGATGTACAACTTGGGCCTGACCATGATGGCAGAGCAGGTTGCCCATTTTATTCATAATGGTAACTCTCGTAGGCATTACGATGTGGCAGGCACGTTGACTGGTGTCTTGGGAGCTCAAAGGAAAGGAAAAGTTTAATCATGTTGGTTTTAAGTGCTCAAAGCATCTCTGAGAACACAAAAACTGCTTGCTGACTCTCTGGCGGGGATTGGGACAAAGAGACAGT